AGAGAGAGAATATTTCTAAACTAGAATCACAACAATTTAAAAATATTCTCCAGCCGAGAAAATTACTCTTTCGGAGTGGCCATTTGGGAAACGATAGATAGAGATAAATAAATAGATAGATAGATAGATAGGTAGAGAGAGAGAACATTTCCAAACTATATTCACAACAATTTAAATATATTCTCCAGCTGAGAAAATTACTTTTTCGGAGTGGCGATTTGGGAAATGGCTGATAAATAGAGATAAGTAAATGGATAGATAGATAGATAGATAGATAGATAGAGAGAGAGAATATTTCTAAACTAGAATCACAACAATTTAAAAATATTCTCCACCCGAGAAAATTACTCTTTCGGAGTGGCGATTTGGTAAAGGTTTAGGGGGGCTGGTAATCGGAGCCTGTGACGAAGGGCGAGGTATTTAATTCGCGAGCACGTGTTGTTGGTACGTCGGAAGGTATGCATCGGTGCGTTCTGTGTACTTCACGTGACTCACAGTGTATAATTTGCGTGGACGTATTGCGGATGTGTACACGTGCACGAAAACCTTCGAGCGTACAGGCCGGCTCGGCGTCGCGATTAAACATGCACGAGCAAACGTAATGTAGGATCAGCTCGAGAGCACCGGAATAAAGGATTTTCTTCTCCGATCGCAAATCGAGAACTCGCGCACCGGCGAATATTACCATCGAATCGTATTACTATCTTGGGCAACTTACTCGTGAAGTAATTCCCGTACGGCTCCTTTTCCCTCGATTTCATGTATCGCGTTTCGTGCGCAACGCATTTTCTTCGAATAAATTGGGGGGAACGAGTATCGTTTATTGAACGCCCTCACGCGCTCTCACGCCAGGGCGATACAAAATTCTGCTGTGGTTTCAAGTTTCTCTCTCGCGATCAATTTTCTTTAATCGCGCGTGAAGATGGAATTAACGCCAACTAAAATGGTCAAAATGGCCAATTTATAATCTTTCATCCTCAGAGATCTAAACGATTTCTCACTTCATGAAATATATAAACAAAAGCTGATACTGAACGCATAAAGTACTGCAAATTTATTCGACCTCAACGTCACTGATGAACATTTTACGCTTCGTTTTCAGACTTCCTCGAGTGA